CGCGCGAGGCGGGCGCGGGCGAGGCGGCGCTGGCGCGGCTGGAGGCGCGCGCGCACGCGATGGGTGCGCTGGTGGACGCGGCGCTGGAGCGCGCGGACCGCCGCCACGCGCGCCTGACGCAGCTGAGCGCGGAGCTGGTGGACGCGCTGAACTTGTACCACTCGCTGATGCGGGACCCGCTGAAGCCGTACGGTCACGGTCCGCACGGCCCCCCCGGGCCCCCGGGTCCCCACGGTCCCCACGGGCCTCACGGTCCCGGCCTGCCCCCGCCGGGTCCCTACCCGCCTCATGCCTTCGGACCTCCGCCGCTGCACCCCCCGCCTCCCCGGTAGAGTACCATTGACTCGTTATGTTATACAACGTATGCTGTTTTGCGCGAAACCTTAACACACCCCTAATGATTTATTAAATTATCATTCGCAAATCTTTAAAAAAATTTAGAGCTTTGTGATGTTTTAGTTTAATGTGATTATTATTTAATAATGTGAATGTGACCTTTGATTATAAATAATGTTTAGTAGATGGAGTGTCAGTTCACGAAAAGCGTAACACTGCAATGCACTTTCCCGCCAACCGCCAAGTAGTACCAATCGTGTCACCTAGGCGTCACTGAGTGCATGCACGTTGTAAACAAATAGTGCACTGCAAAAATGACCACATGCGCTATAAAATTGTGTTAAAAATATAAATGACTGTTGAAAAGTACTAAACAGAACACTTATCCATCGCTAAGTCATTAAAAATTCCATTATCCTATTTATGTTTTTACCTAATTGCCGCCCTTTTCAGAGTCTCATAAAGAAAAAATTGTAAAAAAGCTCACTCACTTGTGAATTAAAAATAGAATAACACTTACCTACGCTTTAATGTACTATTTATTCTAACCGACTAAAAAAAGAAGGTTCGTTTCGATTTTCGACTATTTCGATTATTTCGATTTCGAAATCAATATTCTGATCAAAATATTTCCAGGTTTTGCGCATTGAACTCCTTGTATAACTTTGTGCACGCTTCTTACTTGCACATTGAAGCAGTCACTTGTATAGTAGTTATTAATTATTGGAAGTCCCACCATCACATATGTACGGTGCGTACACTTGCAGCGTGTTTGTTGAGGTTGGAGCGCGAAGAGAAAAGATTCACTTAGTTAGATTTAGAACGTTTAATTGTGTTCACAATAAAACTGTTGACGATTCCTTTCTCTAATGTTGGTTACCGCGTTGCAGTAATTGCACTCACTCATTTATTATGTTGTATCGGTATTTATAGAAACAAAATATGTACGTCAGTCATTTTAGGACTGTACAACATAGGTATTGACAAATAATGATAGATCCGATTCTATCTGCAAACTAAAGTACTAGGTCGAGGCCTAGTATCTTCTCCGGATCGGATGCAGGCAATGGACGTCCTCCGGCTAATGATGATGCCCCAGTTCCATGCCGAGATCCTCGCCACGTATAATTATGTCGACAATGTTAGAATCGCTCACGTTGCTGATGGTGTTACAGATGCTGAGGCGCCGGGAACTGCTGCCTGCTGATCATTTATGGTGATATTGTTATTATGTTGTATCTATTTAAATTGTAACTTTCTGTAGCGAAATAAATTTATTAAAGGATCATTATTCACTAATACGAGCATATTTCATTTATGTTTCTGATGGAAGCATCAACTGTTTGTGGACAAACAGGGTGTCCAATAAAGTCGTCCAAAGTCGTCGAACAACGACGCACTGGGAATACTGTCGGCCGAGTAGTGATTGCAATTATTAGAATCCGTGCTGTGAAATTGTCATTGAGATTATAACGGTGAATATTATTACAATGTAAGTGGACTAAACTTTGATGTATTTTAACCATTTTTGAACTTTGAAAGTGACTGAGACCTCTGAGTTTGTTTCGACGTTTCTCCTCAGAATAGTCCGTTGGAAATGCCGGCTTAATTAAAATGTGAACAAGTAAAGGTGCACTGTCGAAAGTAAACATTGCTTTATTTACGAAGATTTAATTGTTTTATTTCTGCATAAACATACCTCTACCGATATATGTGACGAAGAGGGCTCTCGCTCAACATCGCCCTCACCATCCTCCGACATCAGAAGTGGAATGGATCGGGATTATTGAAAATGTTAAAATTATCGGAGCCGGTTCTTGAAGAACTACCTACATGCAAATGCGACAAAGAAGCTAGTGCTACAAGATTGGACGTGCCTAGCTTTAAGTTCATAGCTAGCTACTCAGTAGTGAAGATTCAACGTGGCTAACGTTGAGGCAGCTACAAATGAAGACATGACGTGGTGCCAATTCAAGCCGGAGTACATTGGCGTCCAGTGCCAGCATGAGATACGCGGCGTTAACGCAGCGTTTGGTGAGCGGCGTGTTGATGTCTGCAATTGGACACTGCTGCCATCGGTTTATTAGTTCCATTTATTATGATTCTGATACCAAGTACTTTATAGGTCAAAAACGAGTCAAAGATTTGAGTTTACGATTGTTAGTTTTTCCAATTAGAAATTTTACTAGTTGTAGTTATCAAAAAAAAAAACAAAGTAACTTTTGCTGTTTAATAGGTAATCTTATACCTTGTCATGTATTGATAGATTATTGTCTCAAGTTGGTAATTTTTGGTTTTAGTTGAATTCCTACTCGAATTCCGCAAAGTTAAAGTGATTTTGTTCGTTCGTACGCAGTCTAACCCGGTAGGCACAGAATGTAGAGAGAAGTAAGTAGTTTATCCTAGAGTGTGCGTATTTATATCAAGATCAACTAGTTTGTCCTAGCCTAAACTGGTTTGTCCTATCGGGCTTAGGACAAATTAGTTTGAACTAGGCTATACTAGTTAATCCTAACGCTTATAGGAAGAACTAGTTTAGCCTAGGCAAAACTAGTTTGTCCTGAAATCGGGTTTGGCCGGTAACATATACACTACCGACAAAAAGTTTGGAAGCACTTTAGATATTAATTATCTTTGAAGGAAAATATAGGAATTAATACAATTTTACGAGTACTGATTAGGTATTTAATTAAATCAACAATTAAACTACAAAATAAAACCAATTTTTTCTTTATTAAACACAAACATAATTTATAATTGATTTTCATTAATATGACTACCCTTTGCCTTAATAACAGCTTGGCAAATTTTAGGCATTCTCTCCAGTAATTTAATCAAATATTCGGTGCCAATTTCTTTCCAAGCTTCCTGTATATATTCCCACAACTCTCTAGTGCTCTGTGGCAAACGTTCTTTGGCTTTTCGATCCACCTGATCCTATAATTTTTCTATAGGCGATAGGTCAGATGATTGCGGGGGCCACACCATCAGTTCAAGCGTACCATTCGACTCCTGTTCTTCTAGATAGGCTTTGCATATTCTAGCTGAGTGCTTGGGATCATTATCCTGTTGAAACACGAATGGTTCAACCACAATACGAATCCCCGAAGGCAAAGCATGATCTCTTAATATTTGCAAATACTGCTCCTTCCTCATAATTCCATCAATTTTAACAAGGTCTCCGACAACTGTTCCAGTAAAACACCCCCAGACTAAAACGTTACCACCACCCTGTTTTACTGATGACACCAAGCAGCTTTCAGATACTCGTTCATGGGATCTGCGGCGCACAAACACTCGTCGATTAGAGCCAAAGATTTGAAATTTTGATTCGTCCGTCCATAATACACTTTTCCACTGTTCCACTGTCCAATGTTCATGCTGTTTTGCCCATTCCAGACGTTTTTTCTTATGTATTGCCCGTAACAATGGTTTTTCTACTGCTACACGACCACGCAGACCAGCAGATGAAAGACGATTCTTCACTGTAGAAACTGACTCTTTATTGGATCGCGTTTTATTCAACTCCCGAGTGATATCCGGTGCTGTCAGTCGACGATTACGTTTTGAAGTCGTTATTATGAACCTATCCTCTGCTGCAGAAGTAGTCTTTGGTCTTCCGCTCCGTTTTCGATCCGATAAACTGCCAGTTTCCCGGTGTCTAGCAAGTGTGTAATGTACTCCCTTAGGCGATATACCGAGTTTTTTTGCAATATCTTTTTCAGAATACCCTTCACTTTTTAAAACAATAATAACCGATCGTGTTTCAATAGGTAACTGTCTTCCTTTGCCCATTTTTCTCCACAAAATAAGGAAATTACTATTTTTTTTAAGTTGTAGTTGTACAGAAAAAAAAATACAATTTGACGGTGTGCAAATAACGAATCACTATTTTTAATAGAGATGACAGTTTATATTAACTACCTACAATAAGCTATGACGCGTGAAAAATGGTTATAGGGTACTCAGCAAATTAAATAAAGTAATAGGGAAAAATGTACATCAATAGGTTATTGTAATTTTTATCAATATCTCTAAGATAAGACCACAACGATTAATCCTAATACAGTAAAATAATTTTTAATGATAGTATATTAAACTACGAAAAAGATGAAATTCGCCTATAGCCATTTACTATGTGTTATAACAAAAATTAGAGGTGCTTCCAAACTTTTTGTCGGTAGTGTATATATAAAAATGAAACCCGTGTCCCGTTGTCACACCATAACTTGAGAATGGCTGGACCGATTTCACTAGGTAATTCTTTTTTTGTTGTATTGGTTATTATTAGGACATAGTTCTTAAGGTAGAGAAAATCCTGAAAACCCTACGGGAACGGGAAAAAATGGAATCGCGGGCAGAAGCTAGTTTTTAATAAAACAATTTCAAAAGTTGCTAATTTGAATATTGAAGGGTCCTCGTAAGTCGTACGTTCATTTAAGATTATTGTTGGGTTAGAGAATAGTTAAAGCACTGAGCGAAACTCATGATCAGATGAGAAACATGCTTCCCTTGTCTTGCCTTTGGGATTAATGTTGAAGTTGGGTCAAACATTCTGATTTATTTTACTACACCGTGTGTGCTTATAGTCGGTACTAAATGTTGTAGAAGTGGTTTTTACTAAACAAGATAATAGCTGCTAAGTGTTAAGGAGTAAGGATATAGCGCTGAGATGGTACATTACACGCATAGCACACAATCATAGTGTGGTATGTGTGTACATAGGATAAGTTTAGTATATAAGATCATGTAGAATAAGAAATAAACCAGTTACTAGTTGATTCCGACTTTGATTCACTACCCTTCCTTGAAGCGCCTCCTATCACTGTGGCCAAGACAGTATAGGATATTATAGGATTAGGTAGTCCTGTACAGTAGGATTGTAGCGTAAAGCTATTACCCCGCTGTACAACATGGTATATAAATCTTTCGTATAATTGAGTCTAACTGAGTCTAATAACTGAGTATTCGTCTTTAAGTATAACTGAGTTTATTAATAACTGTTCTTAGTCTTTACAACCTTGGCTAAACTTCCTAAGTACATCTTTTCTGCTCTTCTGTTAATATTTTGTGTGTCAATCTGTTTATATATTATGTTAGTTATGCATAATGTTATTATTTTGTACATTGTTTGTAAGTAGGTTATAGGTCTGTATTTTGCAGGATTTACTGTACCATTAACGTCTTTTGGCAACATATATGTGATGCCTTCTGTTAAGTAGGAAGGAATATTTGTTGGGTTTTTAATAAAATTGTTACCATGGTTGTATACGTAAGGGTGAATTGTTGTGAATTTCTTTAACCAGAGGTTATGGATATTATCAGTTCCTGGGACTTTCCAATTATGAGCTTTATTTAGAACATCGTGAAATGTTTCAACATCTATTTGATCGAATTGCATTTGTTGAATAGTGTCATAATTTATTTTCCCAGTTTTAATCCAATCAGCTTGAGTATTGTGATACACAGGGTTTTCCCAGATTCCTGCCCAAAACTAGCGTAGGTCATCTTCAACAAGAAATACTGTATGTGCTGTTATTTGACGTGGCGTGATGGTGTGGTTGGTTGTTGATTGTTTTAGAGTTCGGTAAAAATTTTTTTCGTTATTTTTGAAAGGACTGTTCTGTGTCTTGCGTAAAGTACCTACATTTAGTATATCTATTTAACCTACTTTTGATTACTGCAAGTTTCTGTTTGAGCGTGTCTAAGTAATGTGTAAGTTGTCTGTTAGGTTCTTCGTGTATAGTGTGTGACTTATAATCTCTTATTATCTTATTAACTTCTCTATCCAGTTTTCTACTTCTAGTATGGCCCTGCATATAATATGTTAACCTACCTAGTAATATGTTAACTTAGTATTAAACGATAAAAAGACAAATTTATTAGATTTGTTTTGCCAAATGTTAAAAGCAGCGAATGTGACATATTATTGAATGATGAGAAGTTAGAATTTGTAAATCAGACTACTTTTCTGGGAATTACTGTAGACGACAAACTGCAATGGGGTCCTCATACTACATCTTTAGCGGGGCGGGACGATTGAGCTCTGCAGCTTAATGCTGTCAGGAAGATCCGACAGTTGACCGACGTAGGCAAGGCAAGACTAGTGTAGGTACCTACTTCAGTTACTTCCATAGCATCATGTCGTATGGCATTCTGCTGTGGGGACACGTTGCTGACATTGAGTCTATCTTTTTCTTACAAAAGCGCGCCGTGAGAGCTATCTATATCTACAACCTAGGTCGTCACGAAACTCAGAGAGAGGTTTAAGGAGATCAACATTATGACCGTTCCATGTCAATTTATCAATGAAAACATCATTTATGTTAGGAAAAGTCTACATGTTATTTGGTAAAGTGTCGGACGGACACTACTATCAAACTAGACATACGAATAGATTAAGTCAGCCAATTGGGATTGGCGAAAGTAAGTAAGTCGTTCATGGGATTCTGTGTTAAATGTTATAACAAGATACCAAGCGATATACCTACAACACCTAAATGAAACGAAGTTTAAATTATGTATGTCGCAGAATCAACAAAGATGCACAGCTATCGAGTATCGTTATTTTAGAACAACGCCATCTGTTATCATTTGTCGGAAACGTCAAGCAGTGTGCTTGGGTGATGGTCGGTACGGGGCGTGGCATGTTGGCATTTTGAACGGCGTCACCAAAGAGTATAATAAGTATAGGGGATGGCGTCACTTTTGAGTTGGACACGAGAGTGAGCGGTTGTTCTGCCAGCTCGTACCGAACTTACCGCGTTTTACAAGTACCCCCAATTGGTGCATATTCTCTCCGACATCAGAAGTGGGATGGACCTTCATGTCACTAGTTGTCACCTAGTATGCAAGTCGCTCAGATGGCATGCATCTCCATGCCGGTCGTAGCATAGGCGTAAAATCGGGCACCATTTCCCGTCGCAGTGCGGCCACGAATGTGAGTGGCGTGCGTCTTGTTTGGAGATGTAAACTATCGTTGTGTTGCTGGATGGAGGCAATGTGTGTGTTGAGATCGGGTACCGGATGGAGGTCCCGTTGGATTGCCGGATGGAGGCAATGTGTTGTTTGTGACGAGGTTGGGTACCAAACAGAGCATTGCATACTAGATTTGGTCGGAATGTTTCATGAATTGATTTAAAAATTGATGTTTATTGAAACTGATGTTGAGTTATGACTTAAATGT